GATGGGTGAAGAATATCTGTGGAACCAACCCACAGATCAACTGGCAGTGAAAAAAAAGGCACAGCAGATAGAGGTGTGAGTGACTTCCACTTGAGAGTTTTGGATTGTCAATGTTTGGTTGTTTTGGTTTTGGGGTCTTTATATGTTTGTATATTTATATGCACGTAGTTTGATGTATATAAATATATATATACATTGCGTATCCTAAGCTCGCTCGCCCCGCATACGCGTTGTACCTAATGAATGCTTACTTGTTAGAACAAGTTGGTGGTTTGGTGGAAGGGATGTGGGGCAATTGAAAAGCATGGTTCAATAAGCAAGTTGGTGGTTTGGTGGAAGGGGTGTGGGCCATGTGACAAGCATGGTTCAATAAGCAAGCTGGTGGTTTGGTGGAAGGGATGTGGGTCATGTGAAAAGCAGGGTTCAATAAGCAAGTTGGTGGTGTAGTGGAAGGGATGTGGGTCATGTGAAAAGCACGGTTCAATAAACAAGTTGTTGGTCTTGTGGAAGGGGTGTGGGCCAAGCAAAAAGCATGGTTCGATTAACAAGTTGGTGGTTTGGTAGAAGGGGTGTGGGCCATGTGAAAAGCATGGTTCAATAAACAAGTTGTTGGTTTGGTGGAAGGGGTGTGGGTCATGTGAAAAGCATGGTTCAATAAAAAAATTGGTGGTTTGGTGGAAGGGGTGTGGGCCATGTGAAGAGCATGGTTCAATAAACGAGTTGGTGGTTTGGTGGAAGGGGTGTGGGTCATGTGAAAAGCACGGTTCAATAAACAAGTTGGTGGTTTGTGGAGGGGATGTGGGTCATGTGAAAAGCACGGTTCATCAAACAAGTTGGTGGTTTGGTGGAAGGGATGTGGGCCATGTGAAAAGCATGGTTCGATAATCAAGTTGGTGGTTTGGTGGGAGGGATGTGGGCCATGTGAAAAGCATGATTCGATAAAACAAGCTGGTGGTTTGGTGGAAGGGGTGTGGGCCAAGTGAAAAGCTTGGTTCGATAAACAGGTTGGTGGTTTGGTGGAAGGGGTGTGGGTCATGTGAAAAGCATGGTTCAATAAGCAAGTTGGCGGTTTGGTGGAAGGGGTGTGGGCCATGTGGAAAGCATGGTTCAATAAACAAGATGGTGGTTTGGTGGAAGGGATGTGGGTCATGTGAAAAGCAGGGTTAAATAAACAAGTTGGTGGTTTGGTGGAAGGGGTGTGGGTCATGTGAAAAGCATGGTTCAACAATCAAGTTGGTGGTTTGGTGGAAGGGGTGTGGGTCATGTGAAAAGCATGGTTCAACAATCAAGTTGGTGGTTTGGTGGAAGGGGTGTGGGTCATGTGAAGAGCATGGTTCAATAAGCAAGTTGGTGGTTTGGTGGAAGGGGTAATTGAAAAACATGGTTCAATACGCAAGTGGGTGGATTGGTGGAAGGGATGTGGGTCATGTGAAAAGCATGGTTCAATAATCAAGTTGGTGTTTTGGTTAAAGGGGTGTGGGTCATGTGAAAAGCATGGTTCAATTAACAAGTTGGTGGTTTGGTGGAAGGGGTGTGGGTCATGTGAAAAGCATGGTTCAATAATCAAGTTGGTGGTTTGGTGGAAGGGGTGTGGGCCATGTGAAAAGCATGGTTCAATAAACAAGTTGGTGGTTTGGTAGAAGGGGTGTGGGTCATGTGAAAAGCATGGTTCAATAAGCAAGTTAGTGGTTTGGTGGAAGGGATGTGGGTCAATTGAAAAGAATGGTTCAATAAGCAAGTTGGTGGTTTGGTGGAAGGCGTGTGGGTCATGTGAAAAGCATGGTTCAATAAGCAAGATGGTGGTTTGGTGGAAGGGGTGTGGGCCATGTGAAGAGCATGGTTCAATAAACAAGTTGTTGGTTTGGTGGAAGGGGTGTGGGTCATGTGAAAAGCATGGTTCAATAAACAAGTTGGTGGTTTGGTGGAAGGGGTGTGGGTCATGTGAAAAGCATTGTTCAATAAACAAGCTGGTGGTTTGGTGGAAGGGATGTGGGTCATGTGAAAAGCATGGTTCAATTAACAAGTTGGTGGTTTGGTTGAAGGGGTGTGGGCCATGTGAAGAGCATGGTTCAATAAACAAGTTGGTGGTGTAGTGGAAGGGGTAATCGAAAAACATGGTTCAATAAACAAGTGGGTGGATTGGTGGAAGGGATGTGGGTCATGTGAAAAGCATGGTTCAACAATCAAGTTGGTGGTTTGGTGGAAGGGGTGTGGGTCATGTGAAAAACATGGTTCAATTAACAAGTTGGTGGTTTGGTGGAAGGGGTGTGGGTCATGTGAAAAGCATGGTTCAATAAACAAGTTGGTGGTTTGGTGGAAGGGGTGTGGGCCAATTGAAAAACATGGTTCAATAAACAAGTTGGTGGTTTGTGGAAGGGATGTGGGTCATGTAAGAAGCATGGTTCAATAAGCAAATTGGTGGTTTGGTGGAAGGGATGTGGGTTATGCGAAAAACATGGTTCATAAAAAAAACTGTGATGTATATTTTAAGCTTACTACAAAGGACCGAACCACTGAACTTATTAGGCCATACCTCAAGGAAAAAAAACATGGTTGAATAAACAAGTTGGTGGTTTGGTGGAAGGGGTGTGGGCCAATTGAAAAACATGGTTCAATAAACAAGTGGGTGGTTTGGTGGAAGGGATGTGGGTCATGTGAAAAGCATGGTTCAATTAACAAGTTGGTGGTTTGGTGGAAGGGGTGTGGGTCATGTGAAAAGCATGGTTCAATAAACAAGTTGGTGGTTTGGTGGAAGGGGTGTGGGTCATGTGGAAAGCATGGTTCAATAAACAAGATGGTGGTTTGGTGGAAGGGATGTGGGTCATGTGAAAAGCATGGTTCAATTAACAAGTTGGTGGTTTGGTGGAAGGGGTGTGGGTCATGTGAAAAGCATGGTTCAATAAACAAATTGGTGGTTTGGTGGAAGGGATGTGGGTTATGTGAAAAACATGGTTCATAAAAAAACTGTGATGTATATTTTAAGCTTACTACAAAGGACCGAACCACTGAACTTATTAGGCCATACCTCAAGGAAAAAAAACATGGTTGAATAAACAAGTTGGTGGTTTGGTGGAAGGGGTGTGGGCCAATTGAAAAACATGGTTCAATAAACAAGTGGGTGGTTTGGTGGAAGGGATGTGGGTCATGTAAGAAGCATGGTTCAATAAGCAAATTGGTGGTTTGGTGGAAGGGATGTGGGTTATGCGAAAAACATGGTTCATAAAAAAAACTGTGATGTATATTTTAAGCTTACTACAAAGGACCGAACCACTGAACTTATTAGGCCATACCTCAAGGAAAAAAAACATGGTTGAATAAACAAGTTGGTGGTTTGGTGGAAGGGGTGTGGGCCAATTGAAAAACATGGTTCAATAAACAAGTGGGTGGTTTGGTGGAAGGGATGTGGGTCATGTGAAAAGCATGGTTCAATAAACCACGAGAAAATTTTACTCGGGGGGGTGAATGAGGCATGTCCAAAACACAAAATCGGAGTTGGCAATGGCCAAATCATCATGGGGGGTCTGTAAACGGAAACAAATACAGGTCATCTATTGAGGGGCTTGTGAGGTCACAAATTGGGTGGATAATTTGACCATGTAACCCCAAGTGGTCCATTCCGACCAGGCACAATTAGGTTGTCAAACCGCATAAGAATCACAGAACGAGTGGTGATTCTTGTCCAATCAGGGGTTATGGCTGGTGGTTTTCAGGTTTCGGTCAGGGTGTCCTCACTCGCTATGACACTCTGGCCATTGATTCTTTGGTCTCTGGAGTGCTCTTACTTTTGGGACATTGGGGATGTTGGGGCATGTTGTGTGAAGGGCCTTTGGCAGGGAACATAAACCAGTCTGTTTGGTAGAATATCCAAAGGGAAAGGAAAGGTAAAACCTTTCATTGGTACATGGTGCATGACTGGACACATTGTTTGGCGACAATTTTCAAAATAACAACAAAAAACAATTTAACAACGTCATGCAATATATTTTTTCGCCCTATCCTGAACTTGACACTAACATCAAGTGTCACGTCTTCAAATATAAGGTCATGCCATGTCATGTCATGTCATTTCATTTCATTTCCTATCCTATCCTATCATTTTTATCATATCTTATCTTATCATGTATGTAGCCACACCGCCCGATGTAAGGTGAGAACGACCGTTTTGCAATGTAGTGTCACGCCGTTAAAACACCACATTTTGATGCCAAATCAAGTATACGATCACAAATCTTAATACATGTTCAGTCATGTACTTCAAGCAAAATGTCATGTCATGCGAACCACCGATTTTTGAAATGCAATGTAAACAACCCATGCATCATGCCAAATCATTTGATGTTCTTGTGATGTCACATGGTGCAATGTAACAAATACAACAATTTCTGATGTTTAAATGGAATGTCATGCCAAAAAACAACCCCTTCAAAACGCCGGCGAACTTTAGGAGGTGTTCTTCGCGAAATTTTCCAAAACAAATAATTGTCAATCGCATGTTTATGATTTCAGCAGAACGTTGCCACATGCCAACATCACCGGCCCGCAAACTTGGACCAAACCTTGTTGGCCAACAAGTGCTTACACGTTCTGTGTTTTTTTTAAAAAATTTTTTGAATCATGCTGTTGCGTTCAAGGATTCGCACGAATACATTCCCAATGTGACCATTGCAATGTTTCCCTTGTGGTGCGCTGTTCAACATTGCAATGAAACAACGATTTCATGGGTTTATGCTTATGGCACTGCTTCGATCACAGCAGTGGTTGCCCTTGAAAAGGCCGTCTGGGAGTTTGCGTCATTTTTACTCTTTTAGCCTTTAGCATTGCTTTGATTTTGACAGTTATTCATTGCATATTGGCTGATTCTTTTCATGTATGCACTTGCTGAACGGATCAGGTGCAAATTTGCCAGGGTCAGGCTCAAATCAGTTTTCAAAATGTTTTTAGCGAACATGCTGCCAATCAATGAGCTACCGGTGCTGTTGGGACATGTTCAAGATGAAAAGGCTCCATTTGAATCCAAAGAACTCCACGAGCCACTTGAACCACTCGAACCACAATCAGATTCCGTCTTAGATTCCGTCCATTCCGTCTTGAAGGATTTCAATCCTCAGCTTTTTGCAGCTTGTGCCCGTGGTGATCCAGTGAACACCAAGAAACTCCTCACGAAGGCCGACGTCAACAGCAAAGACTATGGAGGTCGGACTCCGTTGCACCTGGCATGTGGATGTAAATCTGCCGGTGCCAAAGAGGTGGTGCAGTTGTTGTTGAAAAATGGCGCAGATGCAAATGCTGTGGACAATTTAGGCATGACACCCATGGATGTTGCGGTGAAAATCCAAAATCCTTCCATCCGAAATCTGTTGGAAGAAAGTGGTGTAGAACTTCAGGCAGCTTTGGAGCAAAAGGCAAGAGAGAGTTCGTGGCTGCTGAAATCTTCTGACTTCAAACTCCGGAAGGAAATCGGAAACACCTTGAAGAGTGTGGTGCATTTGGCAGATTGGAATGGAACAGCAGTGGTGGTGAAATTCATCAAGATGCAGCATCGGGTTGTGATGAAAAGACTCAAAAGTCCAACAGCCTCTATTTGTCGCTCCCCAGCGATGAACTGGAGGCGTTGGATGGTCCCACAGAGATGGTGCCGACCAAATCAGATCCAGAGATTCAGCATGCTTATCATGCTTGCACGGAGGAATTGTTACATGAGATCCAATTGTTGTCCTCCCTTCGTCATCCTGACTTGGTCCTTTTCTTGGGTGCTTGTTTGGAACCCGATATGCCTGCCATGTTTGTCACCGAGTACATGCCCAAAGGTGATGTTGAGCGCTACTTGTACAACATGAGGGAGAAAAAACAGGTAGCTCACTATGCCCCGCCGTTATGGCGCACCCTTGAGTGGTGCTCAGCTATTGCCCGGGCTTTAGCTTTCCTTCACAAGTTTCCAGTGGTCCACCGCGATTTGAAACCACTGAATCTTCTTCTGACGAAGACGTTGGACGTGAAGGTCACAGACTTCGGCACTTCCAAAATCATGGGATTCAGACGAGGAGAAGGAGAGAATGGCCATGGCCCGAGTGGCCCGAGTGGCCCGAGTGGCCCGAGTGGCCCGAGGAACATGTTGCGTGCCAACAGCACTATGAGCACCATGACTCTTGGTGTGGGGACACACAACTACATGGCGCCTGAAGTTGTAAGGACTCCCAACTACAATGAGAAGGTAGACATCTATGCTCTTTCTCTCATCATGTTCTATTTGAGCTCTGGAAAGAGGCCCTTCTATCATTTGGGTCAAAATCCCACCGAAATCTTGGACCGCTTCGTGGCGGGGGAAGAGCCACGGCCGGATGCGACAGAATGCCACAAGGTCTTGCGAGGTCTCATGAAAGAATGTTGGGCTGTGAGGTCTAAGGACCGACCTTCGGCTGAAGAAGTTTTGGAGACTTTGCAAGAGATCAACCAGACGTCCTGGTCCTGTGGCATTGGCAAAATCTTTTCAAAGTAACTCCATAGAGTCCGCACATGAGCCTGTATGCAGATGTATGTAGTATTTTTGAACTGAAGATATTGAAGGCTCTGAAAAAATCCAGTTCCTGACCTTTGAAATGAACGTTTTACAGTGTAATTTTACAATATGCATGAATTGCGCATAGACTCTTGACTTGGCTGAATTGCCAGGGTTTGCATAGAAAGCCCGACATGGTCCGACATGGTCCGACATGTTCCGACATGGTCCATGTACTACGTCCGACTATGTCATGACTATGTACGATGTTTAAATGACTTCCTGTCCTCAAGCGATGGGCAGCGACTCTGACTTCCTGTTCCGGATCGACTCTCCAGACCGTGGCAAAAAGTGGACCGTGACTGTGAGCCAAGTTGCTGTCGTTGCTGTCATGGCTACCGGCTACCGTGTTGTTTGGCCTGGCCTGGTTGGTCATTTGAGATCATTTGTTTTTCTTTGTGTTTATTTGTCATCTATGAGTACACAAAACCAACACTGCTAACACTGCTTTGCCTTTGGATGTGAAAGATTCTGGCTGGAAACTCATGTCCCAAACACCTGTAGGTTGAAGTTGCGGAGGTTTGCCAGGCGGGAAGGGCTTGAGACAATGGTGAAACATGGTGAAACATGATGAAACCGTAGCCGCAGTCGTAGCTGTTCTGTGCATCTCCTGACGCCCGACAGGACTTTTGCGGACAGCTCCGTTTGCCATTGAATTGTTTGCCGTTGAAATTCAATCTGACAAGGTGCTCGGGAATGTCGTGAACGTCTTTTTTTTGGTTTACGTTAGACCCACTCTGACGTCTCTCTTGCGACTTGCGTGGTTGCGAATGGCAATGTTAAGGACCCAATTTTCCATTTCCAAAAAAAATCCCATTGTACATTTGCCGCTAAGAAAAACGTGGTATCAGATTGCAGCAAAGTCACAAGTGGCCACATCCAGCAGCTGAAGATAGGCTGACCGCGGCTGACCAGAACCGAAAAAGATTGCTCCAGGACTCCAGGAGTCTGAGAAGGTTTCAATATATGATTTGTATATATATAATATATATATATATAAATAAATAAATATATAAATAAATAAATATATATATATATATACACATTGACAAAAGGGACTTGTCTTCCTATCCTAAGGAATACTGAAATAGTCACCGCTTTCCGTCAGAACCAAAAGCTGTCAGAACAAAATCAGCTGTTGTTTTCAGGCAACGAAACCTGCATGGGGAAGGAATCTTTGTGACAAACGGTTGCGCATAGCCCGGTATAGCCTCACTAAGGCCTTGTTTGATTTGAGTTTGCCTAATGACTGAACAATGCCGGGCATAGCTGGGTGGCAGGTCCAGATCTGTCCAAAGTTCATATGTTTGTTGTGCGCAGCTTGTGCAGCTGTTAGCCCAATGAGGTTTTCACCGCAACATGTCGCTATTTTGGCCACCACTTTTGCAACATGGATATCAGTGATATCAGTGACATCAGTGTCTGGCAGCTGTTTGCCTGAGAGCATTCCAGAGCAAGATCGCCTTTGGGTGGACGTGTCAGGCAGAAAGCCCCTTCGCTTGTTGGTGTACAACTGGCCCTCGGCCGAAGCATTCACATCCATTGCCAACATTTTGATCAATGAAGTGTTGGGGGTTCATAGCGTGATGAATGAAACGATCGACACAGTCTTGGAGGCAGCACTGAAATTATCTGGTTGTGAAGATATCGCTTGTGTTGAAATCACTGAAGATATTGCGCATTCCGCACTTGAGACATGGGACAGTGCATCGAATGAATTGAAAGACTTCCGAGTGGCTCATGCTGAGAAGGCACCTCTGGATTTAGGCTCAGTTGGTTACACGAGTGAAGATGGACTGTATCTTTCCAAAAAAGTTCTTTCCAGGTCATATGATGAAACTGGGAACGCCTTGGACTTTTACAGAGGCTACAACCAATCCCATCACGGCAGTGTGCACCAGTTCTTCGATAGCTTGGCAGATTTGCAACCTGCTGAATTTGTGGATTGCAATGAATCGAAATGGGTCAATCCAGCCTTTATCAATTCTTATGTACAGTACACAGGAGATTTGGATGGAGTGATTGATGTTGGAGCTGGAGATTACCACGCGAAATGTCATGGGAAATTCTGGATTGCACCAGCATGCCGACAGAATGTTTCTGAATGTATACCAATTGTTACCAGCGGATATGGATGGGGATTGGACATCTTCATGATGTGGTATCATGATGCAAACAGAGGAAGGGGAGCAGTTGGGATATCGGGCTTGATCCCTGTTTGAAATGAGTCCAGTGTCCCATTAAAAAGACATAGTTACCAATCTGTGCTTATATATATATTATATACACATACATATACATGGATATGTATATATATATGCATAGATTTATACATCCATACATACATACATACATGCATGCATGCATGCACAGTAATACATATACGTACACATACATACACATACACATATACATATACATATACATATTCATATACATATACATATACATACATACCTACCTACATACCTACATACCTACATACCTACGTACCTACGTACCTACGTACCTACCTACCTACCTACCTACCTACCTACGTACCTACGTACCTACGTACCTACGTACCTACGTACCTACGTACCTACGTACCTGCGTACCTACGTACCTACGTACCTACATACCTAGGTACCTACGTACATACATACATACCTACCTACCTACATACGTACGTACGTACGTACCTACATACATACATACATGCATGCATGCATGCATACATAAATACATACATACATAATCATACATAATCATACATAATCATACATAATCATACATAATCATACATAATCATACATAATCATACATAATCATACATAATCATACATAATCATACATAATCATGCATACTCATGCATAATCATGCATAATCATACATAATCATACATAATCATACATACTCATGCATAATCATGCATAATCATACATAATCATACATAATCATACATATGTATATACATGCATAATCACACACGGATAATATCCTATCTTAGGTGCGCAAACCTTCAGCCACCAAGGATACTTTGCGGTTCACCCCAGTCAAGAAGTAGCTTATAAACTAGTCAAAGTAGGATCAGTAAACCAGTCAATAGTAGGATAAGTAGAGTCCTGATATGACTGGGATTATAATCCAGTCAATTACTGATGATTCAGTTGCACCACTTCCATGCCAGGGAAAGCCTTCCAGATTTCAGAAACAATACAATTTTTTGGAAACAGGCTCTGAGGAGTCGTCATAGTCATTTCCTTATCGTGCTTGACTGAGATCCTGCATTAGAGTTTCTCTGGTTATACTGGTATGATTTGTGTTGTCATAATTTCGATAGACCATGCGACTTACTATACTTTCTTATTTTGTCCTGAAGGCTTCTCCCTTCTTAGGGTAATCATGGGGCTAGTATGCAACACTGTGGCGTCGAGTTTTTGTGACATCTTCATTTGCTTCATCCCTATCAATTGCGTGCCAAGATATAGTGATGTGATGTGATCTAGATGTGATCTAGAATCTATATGTGATCTTATATGATACACAATTTAATCAGAAACTTGTAGCTTCTTTCATTTCATTCCCTTCATCCCGAGCTCGACAGCTCTGTTTTGGCCAATGCGTGATGACTTCCCAGGTCTGCCTCTTACGGACTTCCAACAGCCCTGGGTGTGACCCGAAGCTTTGCGTCGTACACCTCGAGCATCTCTGCGATCAATGTGTTGTTCTACTGGTGGCGGCCCGATGTGACCTTTCTCCATTTGGAGCCCCAACAGGTGATTTTCCCAAGGCACGATGCTGATGCTTGGGAAAGAGGAGATAAAAGAACTGCTTTACAGGGGGCGCACATTGGAAAGTTGGTGAATGTGAAGTTGGAAGGTATGGGTGGCATCGGTTCCAGAGTTCATGCCTTTTTGGACAATGTGGAGATCTCTTTGAAGGACATTGAGGGCGTTTTGGCGATTGCCACTGGAAAAAGTATTGCAGATGCTGCTTGTGACTGGATTACTTCCAATGAAGCCAAGTGGCAAAAATGGATTCCAGGAAAAACCGCATGTGGCCCTGGCTATGGTTTAATCAACCGAAGCCTGCAGTACGTTTCCTCCCGCAGCACGGCAGTCGACTGTGGCCTTTGCATTCCCGGTGGCTTCTCTGAGTTGGTGGTGGACAGTGTGGGGCGCACCCATCGCTGTACGGCCTGTGAAGCTGGCCATTATCAGCACCTGTCAGGGGAGACGTTTTGTGCTGCATGCGAAGTTGGAAGATTTCAGGCTGAGAGTGGCCAGTCGTTTTGTGCTCTATGCCCTTTAGGCAGATTTGCCAACTCCTCGGGTATGACATCCTGTGAAAGATGTGGCAATGGAACTCATTGGACGACAAATCGCCTTGTGAAGGTGGCAGGTGCAGGTGGTGAAAACGATGAAGACGAGAAGTGGATTGAGACCGAGGGAGCTCCTTCAGCAGATCTATGCCACTGTGTGGAGGGATGGTATTTGTACCATCCCCCTCCATCGGGCCAGGCGTCGGGCCATTCGACGTGCAGAGAGTGCAGCAGTGGCACCAGATGCGTCGGAGGCGAACTTCAGCTTCTCCAGGGCTATTTTTCCAGCCAAAAGGAGCCTGGAAATGTCTTCAGGTGCTTCAACTCCAATGGACGCTGTCCAGGTGGTTTGCCTGGCACTTGTGCTTCAGGGAGGGATACAAGCAGCGTAGATTGTGGACGGTGTTTACCTGGTTTGCGCGCGAAGGGTGCTGAATGCGTGCCTTGTGATGGAGTTGACTACTTCATTTTGGCCCTCCTCGGCTTCTTCTTCTGCCTCAGTAGTGGTACGTTGCATTTGGCGTCCTTACTGGCTTCTCGAAGCAAGAAGCAAACCAGCCTGATGAATGCAATCGTGGCTGTCAATCAGCTTGTGACTTTGTTCAAATTTGTTCAAAGACTATTCAAGTTTTTTCGTTTTCATACCCTGAAGAATTGGTAAATTAGGCCCGAAAAAGTGCCTCTTGACAACGACTGCCAAGAGCTTGCACAGCCACTAGTTAGGGTCTTGGTGGATTTTGCTACCTTGCGCAAGAGACAAATTGTTTGCCGGGTGCACGGCTCATATTTTTCCATCCTGCATTGCATAGATTCTTTTTCTTCGATTCCTTTTTCTCTAGGACTCTGGTTAAGCCTGCCAAGCAAAAGTCCAGGGGATCAAGGTTGACATGCTTGTCACGATTGATTTGGTCCTGATTTGGTCCAGCATCCCAAACAGTTTGCCCAAACACTTGACAAACCAAAGAACTGCTTGAGGCGACCTGCTTGCAGTTTCTGGCTGTGATGGGGCAACTTCACATTGACTGGGGAGAGCCTAAGTTGCAAAGGGACCGTGGGATAGCATTTTTGCGTTTGATTATTTAATAATTATTTTGATTGCTTGAGTTTTTCTTTAAGCATGTCATATGCTGATTGTTGTGTTAAATTCCATGGGTTTTCACTTTGTTTTTTGGTGCTGCTCAGGACCCTTTCAAGACGCTGCTGCGATCTATTGACTTTCTCTCTCCGAAGTTTTTGTGGGAACGGTTGGACGCCATCAACTGCTTCACGACACTGTCTCCGGTGAGCACATTTTTGCTGCAGAATCTTGGTGTGCCTGGGCTTTTGTGTGCTGGTCCTGTCCTAATTCATGTGATCTTGGGCGTGCTGCGGAAAGAATGGAAGCTGCACCTACTTCTGGGCACCCTCGGACTGCTCTGTGTGCTTTTCGTGACCATGTCTTGCAACTCAATTCTTGAGCCTTTTCAGTGTGAACGACACCCAAATGGCTTGTTGACTATGCGCAGCAACCACGATGTATTCTGCACCTTTTCAGGTGTGCATCTAGATCTGTGCATTTTTGGATGGATCCTATACCTTTTTCCGATCCTTTTCTTAAGTGTCTGTTCCTGGATCCTGCTGAGTCAGCTGCCCAAGCGCCTGCAAGTGGCGGACATGAAGTTCTTGCAGGCGTGCTCCTTTCTGATTTTGCGCTTTCGTCCAGGAAGTGAGATCTTCGCCCTCTTTTTACTGCTGCGCAACATGCTGTTTGCATTTAGCCCTGTACTGAGAGGAGATGCTCCTTCACTGCTGATGATGCAGATTCTCATCTGCTTCAGCTTTGGTCTTGTGGCTTATTTCAAACCTTGGCCCACTCGATTGGCGACATGTGTTGATCTCTTTATGCACATGGCTTTGCTGCTGATTTTGATTTTTGGCGCATTCTTTCTAGAGCTGCAGAATGCACATGCAACCATGGTGGTGTGCACAGTTATCGCCTTGCTTATGATGCTCGGCATTTTGGCCATGGCCGCCGATGGAATCATAAGGTATCTCTTGAGCCCGATCATCAAGCCTTATCGTTTCTTCCTTTGTCATCACAAAGGTGGTGCAGGCAGCTTGGCTCGGTGGCTGAAGATGGAACTGAGCCGTTCTGCCTCAAAAGTCTTCATCGACAGCGACAATCTCACTGACCTCACGCGACTTTTCACCATTGTCAGTGAACACGTGCAAACTGTCGTCATCATTGCATCGCCCGGAGTGCTAACTCGTAAGTGGTGTGTTGGAGAGATGGTGGCCGCCAGATTGCAACATGTGGATGCGGTACTATTGACCTTGCCCGCCTTTGTTCTGCCGGATCAACACTTCCTGAAAGCATTTGAAGGCATGATACCTGAAGTGAAGGAACTTGCCAGCTATGGATTTGGGGTAGCCGAGATTCTGGATACCTTTCGGTGGTTGAGCACCATCCCAGAGATTCCCTTGGAGAGAATCACTCTTGCAGCTTTCAATGATGTTGTGGCTGAATTGTTGAAGTCCAAGACACCCCACAATTTCCAAAATGAGAATCGGAACAGAACAGAATCGTCCAACTGTTTGATCCTGGCAGATTTAGACGACACGGAGGCTGTCGCAACAGCACATATTCTTTTGATCCTCATTGGCTCTGACATGATGCGTGTGCATGGTGCTTTCCCACAGGTGTTGAATGCTTTGGATTCCATCAATTCGGAGGACTTCGCAGAACTGTTTTTGATCATGATCTGTACCAAAGATTGCTTGGTCTCGTTTCAGATGGCCACGTGGCTCCTTGAAGCCTTGGACCTCTCTGGCGACGGCCATGGCGATGATGGCGACGATGGCGTCGGCGGTGGAAGCCATGGCGCGACATCGACATCTCCACTGTCTCCACTGTCTCCACTCTCCAACTATGCTGGCCAGGTTGGCAGTTATCTCCGCGGGCCGAGCTGGTCACAAAGTGCGCATGCCAAGATCTCAAAGCAGATCTTCATTCTTCCATTGGTGGCAGAAGACTTCCAAGTTCCATCCCGCAGCAGCTTTGAGAAGATTTTGAAGAGCTCAGCATTGCCCACCATCAACAAAGAACTCTATGTCAACATTTTGCAGGCCATTTTTTTTCAAATTGCCCTACCATTTGCACCAAAGGTGTCTTCAGAAAGCGATTTGAGGTTGAAGGCCAAGCAGATCACTGAGCGGTTGCGATCTGATGTGATGGGATCTTTGCAATCGAATTTTATGCTGGCGAGAGCCGCGAGTGCCTGGGGCCTTGAGAGATCCCGCAGCAACTTGAAAGGCACCAGTTTTTGGGTGTTTTTGGGTATTTTTTTGGATCTGAGATATATGACAATATATGATGATATTATGATCTACGATGGGTTTGTGATAAAGAATGCTAGGATGTAATATGATGTAAATTGTAATTTTGACTGAGACTTCTCGTACTGTAGTGGTTTTGCTTATGTGTGATCCTCATCTTTGTTTTCCGCCTGGCTAGATGTAAGGGGAAATAATGGAAAAGAATAGGAAAGATATTTGTCAATTTTCATCTTCTAAGCCCCACCAGGTAACCTGCATTTGTCTGGGTCACATTCCCTGACCTATGAACTTTGTAGCGAGACCACCGAAGAGACAGTGGAATGCAAATTCTGAGCTAAAATTTGCGGACTTTGAATGCAGATTTACCAATTTTTCTTGCTCAAGTAATTCTGAGCAGGATTTGGTGTACAGAATTTTCAGGTTTCACCAATGTCCTTGAATGCTTTGAATATTCTTGCATGTTTTCTCAAGTGCAAGGCGCGAAGCGGATCCAGCAAGCTTGCCAGGATGTTCCAGTTGGGCAGGTGTGACCACCAGAAAGGGTAACAAATTTCAACATATTTCGCGAATTTCTATCACAGATCATGTAAGGAAGCATCCTGGTGATGTAAGATACATCAGCCTATCCTGGCGTTTCACCCTCAGAACCTATGAATAGCTTGAGAGGCTGCGAGGCCGGGCAACGGATACTGAGTGCAGTTGGATCAAGTTAACACGGTTTGGTGTGGAACTGTTTGCATGTCATGCTTGCGACGTAGCTGTTTTATGATCACAACTTTGGCTTATGTCATGCCAGTCTCAGGTGCTGGTCTCAGTGTGTTTCTTGCACTGAAGCCCAAGTGAAACTCTGGTGAACGACAAATTGGCAACAAACCATATCCCTTTGGATTTGGATCCCTTTGGTTGAATTAGTTGAATTGCAGATATGCTCTTTTTATTTCCGCAGCATTCTGGTGCCCAAAGTCTTTCGTTCTGGTGCCTTGTACTCCCACTACGCCATGGCCAAGTATTCCCAGAACCAGTCCTGTGGCCACACTTGTCCCTGGGGCTCAGGAGATGACAACTTGCCACCGGATGCCTTCACCCAGGCAGCCATGAAGGCAGCCCGTCGCCGTGTGCCACAAGAGACTGTCAACTCCCAAGTGCAGGTGCAGCCGGAGACACAGCCAGAAAAGATGGACAGCGTTCGATCTCAGACTTCCCGTTCAGTTTCTGGGGAGAAGATTCAAGTTCAGCAAGATGTTGAAGGCAAGATGATGGAACTGCTCCAAAAGTGCCTTGACAAAAAGGTGATCGAGTTGCGGGATCTCAAGGCACCGGTGAAGATCGCCAAAGACATGGACTTCGATGTGAGAAGTTCATGTTCCACCGCGACAACTCGGTCGCAGGCTTCGTCTCGGCAGGAGAAGCAGCCCCAAAAGCCCCAAAAGCCCCAGCAGCCGACATCAAAAAAGACCCAGAGCAAAAAAGATCTCATGGATTGCTCTGCTCGTGACGCTGAGGTGAATGAGGTGAATGGTTATGAGGCCCTTGACCGCTATCCAGCTTTGTTGCGTGAAGTGAATGGCCTAAGTGATAAAGCTATCACACAAGGTCTCACGAGCACCGGCAAGCAGAAGCAAGCCATGAAGCTCTCAGATGCCTCTCTGGGAAAATTTGATGCCGACCAGTCACGCATTGCTTATCTTCAAATGCAGAAAAGTGCGGCAGAAGCTCGGAACAAGAACCGTTCAGCACTGACCTTTGGTGATGATGTGGGACCTTTCGATAAGAAGACCACGAAGACCACGGGACCTAAGGAGGTGACCATGGCCGGCAAACGAGCTCAAGCCCAGAAGCTCTCAGATGCTTCACTCGGGAAGTTTGATGTCGACCAATCTCAGATTGCATTCCGTGAGACACACAACAGTGCTGCTGAGATGCGAAACAAGAATCGTGTCGGCCAAGGGATTTTCTGAACATTCTGAACTGTCCTTAGAAACTTCAGATTTTGGGCATTTTGTATCATTTTGTCACATTTTGTTGACATATTTGACATATTTTGTCTTGTCATATTTTGTGATGCCAAATCCGGTTCCAGGGGCCTGACAGAGGCCTTTGTGAGCTCCACACAGCTTCAGTGCAGCTTCGGATTCCAACGGAATCTCCTTTGGTCTCCTTTGTACAATGCAATGCTGCTTGCTGTTAGTACACCGCGGCAGAAAGATCCGCGAAACAAACTGCGGAAGATTGGCTGACTGAGTCTTGTATAGATATTGATCACGAGGTGTAGCAATCAAAGCTTGATGTTGGCCATTGTTGGCCTATTCCGAACACAGTCATGAGGATGTCCAAAGAGTCCAAGAGCATTCTCATTCTAGTGAGAATCAGCTTGCCCATGAGGCTGCCATGGCTGACACAGTTGACATTGAGGCCATGGAAGTGCCATTGCTGAAGCCTTCCATTTGAAGAGAATGACTAGGGAATAGATACGGGGCACGGCTTGCCACCCTTCTAGCGCAGGAAGTCAGTAAGTCTTGTTGATCTTTTGCATGAGAGCAATGAACAAGTGGAATCACAACATTGTGTCGGCGGCTTCTTTTCTGATTGTAGGATCAATTTGCCACAGTCTCTAGTCTGGTTTCTGTCTACATTTGGTGTCAACCCTGTTTCATTTCGTCCTTGATCCAGTCTGAGCTTTGGCATTTGGCGCTGAGTGCCCAAGAACTTGCGAGTCTACCATCTGAGCCAAGCATGGAGGCCTTTGCAGCACCTGTGGTAGCTCTGGCACCAAGAAAAACAGCAATTCTCCATAATTCTCCAAGATTTGTTGTTTTGGATTGCTTTTTATCTCTGCATTTCAGCTTCGCATCTGTGATGTTGAACTGAAGGTTTGGATCTAAGAATCAGCAAGGTGGTCTGAGTGATATCTTTGGGATTTTGCAGATTTGCAGGTTCGAAAGGTGGCGGGACACTGCATTTTGCTGGTGGCGGGACACGGTCAATACCATGCGCTGGATGCTCGCTGCGGACATCGTGGGGGGCCATTAGAAGAAGGCCTGGTTAGATGCAGTTTTTTAAACTTGTTTTCCCAGATGCTTAAAGTGTCTTTTTGCTTGGCTCGGCAGGCGACTTGGAAGACTTGGAAGACTTGGAAGGTCTTTTGGTTCGGTGCCCTTGGCATGGCAGACGCTACCGGGTCGACACCGGTTGTGAGGCGAAGTGGTCGCTCGTTTGTGATTTTGTGAGTTCCATTTGCTTACGACCGTCTCAAGCCATCAAACCAGTTGGTTCATGTCATGATTCATGTCATGATTCATGTCGGGTATGTCGTGTATGTCGGGTAGGTTGATATGGTCGTTGGTGCTGCATGTGCAAAGTTTAGTGTTGATTCAGGTGCTGCAAAGTGGGGAGACGCTTCCAACGCCCACGCAGCGCTGCCACAGCTTGCGCCTTGACAGCGACGGCGCCTTGCGTGTGCGACTGGCGCCCCGAGATGATCATGTGGCCTCGGACTGCAGTGTGGTTGTTGTGGTTGTGACACCTTGTGGTTGTGACACCGGTTGACACCTTGTGGCTGATGCAGTTGTTCCAGTTGCCAGAAAATGTCACAGCATGTCACAGCATGTCACAGCACGCGGATTCGTTTCTGATTCCATTGCCATTTGATGTGCCACTCCAGCCACTTGACCAGCCACTTGATGTGCCTTGACATGCCTTGACGTGCACTTCACAGGACGAGTTTGCTGCTATCGAAGATCCAAAGCCACCAGCTACAGCTGCGTCCTCGTTGCAGATTTGGCTTGGTGACAATCGCAAGGTGGGGGCCCGCTGGGGGTCCGGTGGGTGGTTTGAAGATATTAAGTGCGAATTCAGTGTTTTTGGATGTTTTTGGCACTTCTTGGATTTCAACCAGTCATTCCAGATGCAAATGGTGCACTGCTCAGTGACTGTGGGATCAATTTCTCAGGTATTTGAAATATTTTGAAATGTTTTGATACTTTGAATGCTGACAAACAACAAGGAGCAAAATAACGTTTTCCCCGTTTTCCGATTGTATGCGAGTCAGGAGCCGACTGGCAAAGAGGATTTCATTTCCGACGAGTTTCTTTTCTAACCAGACGTGACTGTAACGGACGTTATCTTTTGGAAGGCTTGGGAAGGGTGGATGGGTGGAGCTGCCAAGATGGATTACTTTTCCTCTTTATTCTGAGCTTATTCGGCTTATTGTTCTTTATTCACCTTGTTTGAAGAGCTGTCTTGAAGGGCAATCTAGTTCTCATAGTTTGGATAGGCATGGACCATGGATAGGTTTGATAGGCTGGATAGGCTTCCATTGTGGTTCGAAATCGTGATGCATTCCCTGCCATCACAAAACAAATAAAAAAAACACCAAAAAACACACATTGTGACTCATATTGCTCATGCATTTCAAATCTCTTTTGAGATTTGACAGATTTTTGTTGTGTTTTGATGGCTACCCGTCGAAATCCATGAGTTGAGTAGATTTCGGTTTCGATTTCTTTGGAAGAGTCTACTCAACTCATCTTTTGTAACGCGCCAAGTTTCGACGTCTGGGAAGAGTTGGATGAATTGGATGAGTTCGTTTCAGTGCCCACAGACCATTGGGGAGCTAAGCAGCTAAGCAGCTAGGCAGCTAGGCCATCTCGGGCTAGGCATCCCATTCTAAGTGTCGACTGAACCTGTGGAAAGGAAACTGTTGGTGCGGTGTTTTTCCTGCTGGCTTTCGGCGGCTTGGAGGCGATGGGTGCGAGTGAAGTGATATTTTGTTGAATCAAGTGTTGAATAATGTTGAAGAGTGACATGCATAGTGAATAATTCAATGTGTGTGTATATATATATATATGTATATATATATATATGTATATATAATATTATATATATATGTATATATAGTTGAGGCAGAAATCGGAAATCGCATCATGGAGCGCCCTAGAATTCAAGACCTTGTCCAATTTCCGCAAATGATTGCGATAGGTTTAAGTGCGCTTCGCAATCAGAACATCCCCTATTGCATGGTTGGCTTCGATCTATCTGTGCTGTATTGAGCTTCAGCCTAACGATAGACTAAATGGCTGCACCAGACTGCAGTCGCAAGAGAGAAGGAACAATAACAAGATAGGAATAGCCGCAACGTGGCCAGATGTTGAGATCAAAGGTGACGCAGAATACACACATGCTGCAGGTGGCAAACATTGCCATGATAAGCTCTTGCGAATAAGGTTGACCAAGATCTTAGCATGTGGTCATGTGGATTGTCGCTGCGACATCAGCCAACGCCGCCAGCAGATGCCAGCAGCATGTAAACCACTTGAGGTGATTGAGGTGAATCCATCACCGAGGGATGGCCACTGGACGACTATCCAAGAGATGCAGGTTGCCCTGGGCACTATCTTTCTGCGGAGAGGCTTGGTGTTTCTCATGTGTCCAAGACTTGGCTCTGATTACAGACCTTTTCTCCATGTGATCTCTGATATGAAGCCTGTCAGCTCAAGACTTGAATGCGATCAAAGAACCTGCAAGGCTGCTGCGATTCGGTTCACACTACGACGACAGTGAGGCGTGTGTGACGGGGCACCCGTCAAAATCTGTCGTGGTGGATTTAAACTTACTTGATGCCTAAGCTTTTGGGAGGGTGCTATTTTCAGACCGCGCCAGACTTGCCGTATGCCTTTTTTTTTTGAGTTAATGTTTCCGCATCAGCAGTGGTGTTTTGCGAGTAATTATACTTTCCCCTTCTTGTCAGATTCACTCTTGCATCTAAATGGTTCTTTCGTCGTTGGTGTCCTTGGTGGTTTATCTTTCTGGATGGACAGTGTAGTTATATTTATCATTATTTATCCAGTGCTTTGGACAACATGGCAGTCCTACTTCCACAATTAAATCTTACCCTACAGTAGCGTGTATCATATTTTTCATTGTTCTGATGAAACGTTCCGCTACATTTGCGTGTGTTGAGTCAAGGTGATGATTTAGGTGATGCCTTCCTTGTCAAAGAACACGTTTAACCCCTTGACTATCTTGACTGGAAAGCACGATCATTATCAAAATGGAAAACACATGCAAACACATCTTTTTGGACACTTTCCTTCAAAACTGATAAGGCGTTTGCTCCTGATTTCTTCCTTTGATGGGGACGATGTTCCAAAAAAAACCTGCAGATGTCTACCACTCCATCTCTGGACTCACCATTCTGGACGCGCCTGTTCACCTTTTTTTTTAGAATGTTTTCATATCCATTGATATTCAAAGTTCACACATGGAGGGGTGTGTGAGTGTGAGTTTGAACCGCTGGATTTTCTGATAAGTTTGTTAAGTTTGTTGGGTTAGTGAGGTTAGTGTTTTCCATTTTTTTCGCATATCCACCCTGGTGATTGCGCCGAGGCCGGCTGTGTCTGACTGGGACAAGGGAAGTCAGAAGGCCGACTGTGCGCGGCCAACATCTCTGCAGCTTGCGTTCAAAGATGATCAAACATGATCAGCCAATTTTCGTAGCAAATGACTCCGAGGATTGAGGATTTTGCAGTTTGGTTCTTTTGAAGAGTTGAGTCAAAAGATGTGTCCAGACTCCACCGTGATAGCACGAGTGTGGTCACGCAGACACCAGTGTTTTTTTTTTTTTACCGGAACAACTTTCTGTTTAATGCAGCTCACCTGCCAGTCTCATTTCAAGTTGTAATAGACATTGCTCATGATGTCTTCTCTGGATAGTCTCCTTGCCACATGTTTTCTCACACGGAAGAATCTTTACCTTTTAAGGCCATATACATGTTACATACATAAAATAAGTGCAAACTTTTGCAAACTATCGCACAAATTGACCGCGGAGAGTGAGGTAATCAACATCTACCCTGATAGAACAAAATCCTGTTGTCGCTTTATGTTGAATTTCTTTGTAAACATTTCTGTACGAATGGCAACACCCAAATGAGAGCCCAACACAACCCGGCCCAGACATCAGTTTTGATGCAGGTGTGACAGCTGACCGCGGATTGCCAAGTGGATCAGAGTTGAATGATGTTGAAGTTAAAAAGGTTTGTCTTACGATTTGCCATGTCCCTCAGCACACTGGTTATCAGGTTGTCACTTTTAACTTTGAAATCTTGCATCAGAGAATGATGTCCATGGAAGTCAAATCAGCATCCAGAGCAGTGATGAGGGGAATCTATGGAGGGAGAGCAGGAAGGAGTCATGGATTTCCAAGAGCTTCGGCATTGGGGTCGAAATTTGTCACACTCGTCCGCTCTATGCACCTGCTTCAAGACTTGTCGAAAGAGTCTCGCTGCTGACTCATCAGCCTGGCGGCTCAAAACAAAAAGGAAACAACCAGGTTCAAAGCAGGCCTTCAGATGCAGCAACTTTTCTGTCAATTTTTTATTCCTAAGCATCCCCAAGCCGTGTAAAGTAGTTCCGATGGAAACTTTTCTAAGTGATCCAGTGTTTAGTCTCTGATGGGAAAACAGGCAGGACAGCTGGACTGTGCATGTGCCAGAAAAGGCTGAAGAGTTGAATCATGAATCATGTTGAATCGTTGAAAATCCCTCTACGCAGCGTCTTGCAGATTTTCCTCATATAGTCACGACATGTCACGACATGTGACGGCGTCACCATGCGTCACCCAGCCTTAGGCTTCTTTGGGTTTGGATTTCTGGCAGGTGACGCTTTGGGCGCTGCTGAGTGTCCCTTGGCGTCCAAGCCGAAACAATCTATGCCATCTATGCCATCTATGCCATCTATGCCATCTATGCCTATGCATTAAAACTGACCATACAGATCAATCATATTCAATCATGATGATTCACTCTCCATTTTCCGGTTGATTGTCCATATGTCGCCATATGTCTCTAAGCCATCACGAAATGGAATCCACGGTGCATGTTGATTTGGAGATCCCGAGGCAACAGCAGTTGCCATGGTGGAGATTCAGGAGACTCAGCGACATAGCACAGTCGACCAACACTATCAGATCTGATCAGTCACTGTCATTGCAAAATCTTGGTTGGTGAGTCCATGTACTATCTGTACTGTACTATCTGTACTCTGATATTTGAAGTATTTGGAAGTGTTCGTAATTCTTTTTCGACAGAGAAAACCAGAGGTCTTAAGGCGATGTGACATGTGTGGAGTTTTGCTGGGCAGGGTTCAGACACCGTCTGGGTGAAGAGTGCCGGCGGTCAAAGCTGCGAATTGGCATGCAAGGCACGCCCCAGGATAGTGTCCGATGTGCAAGATTCAACTGGAGTTCGTACAAACATGAGAGTTCCCACCTCCAGTTTGAAAATGTTTGTGTCCACGAACCATCACAGGTTTTGCTTGGCTCTGTTGGGTTCATATTTTCTCAGAAGTTAAGTTGAACTAAGTTGCAGGGTGGCATTCATGGTCAGGCCAGAGGTGGATGCAAGGAAGATGTTTGGCCGTCGACATCTCAGATTTGAAGGCAGAATTCTTCAGGTTTTCTGTGTCATTTCCAGACTTGAACACCTTTCCAAGCTGCAGCTGCACTTTCAAATTTGTCTCCTCACATGATTGGCACATTTGGCACTTTGAGATCTTTGAGAATCGAGTTGAAGATGAAGCATATTGAAGCAATAAAGATTGTGTTGACCGGTGTTGACCGGTGTTGACTTCGAAACGAGGACCACATTGGAAGAGTTCCACGAGATGCTGGCGGAGTCAGGATACGTCTGTGCCAGGAGCTGAGAGTTGCACCGCTCCGACTGCTCCGACTGCTCCGACTGCTCCGACTGCTCCGCAGTGGTGCTCCGAGGTTGGCATCCAACCGGGTGGTGCCAAGTACGATCCCAGTACTGACGGCCAGAAAGCTGAGCAGATCATTGGAGATCAAGGCATATCATATCAAAATAATTCAAAATATATCAAAGAAACCTTTTAAGATGTTTTAACTCTTGATGGAGTTGCAACATGCCCAACATGTTGCAACGAACTGCACGATCTGTGGTTTGCACGGTCTGTACAGCACAAAAGCAGTGGGGCTGAGGCCGCTACTGCGGGTGGCATGGTGAGAGCGATTCTTCGCACGGCGGCCCAGCACCAGCACCGACTGCACAATCGTGGGGACTGTTGGGGATCGGTTGCACGTGCTGAGTGGCTGAGGCAACCACGATGCGCATCCGTCGGCGATGCTGGGACGTTCAGGTGCATGAGCCCCCAATAAAGCAGTGATATTTTCTTTTGGCACCTCCATGGTCCATGTTTGAAGTCTGAGTTGCGTGAGTTGTCCAAGGTAGAAATGATGACATCTTGGGGGTCAAGATGGAGAAACCCGAAATGGCACGGTTCAACTCAATCTTTTCTAGATCTCAGATTTTGACCCAGTGCATCTCGAGTTTCATCCACCCTTTTGTGGCCTTTTGGCCTCGTCCTTATTTCACTTTTTTCCGGAAGAGTTGTCTTCAGGTTCTGCCCCTGCTATGGAGACAAAGAACTGTGAGGCAGCAGATCACTCAGCGCGAGTGGAGACAGCGCCCAAAAAGGGCCTCCCCAAAGCAGGGCAGAAACTCCAGGCAGAGTGGGGTCAAAAGGAGTTTTTACTGGCGAGTCTTAGGGAAAGACATGTGACAAGATATATCAAGTGCCATCTGGAGAAAATTCTTTGCCTTTGCTTTTGACAAACGATAAAAGAGCATACCGAGTGCATGTCCGGGGAGATGCAACCAACATCAATAATTGCTTTCGCTTCACAAGTGTCAAGTTCAGTACCGGTGTGGAAAGCGGAAGCAAAAACAGTTCCTGCCAGACACCAGCATGAAATTTCCAACAGCCTTGACTTCCATTTGAAGCAGGGAAACTGAAAGAAGGAAAACATACAAACAGTATCAAACAGTCTGCAAGAAGCCATTTTCAGGTGGCTTTTTGCTCTTGTTTCAGTGATTCTTTTGGGTGAAAACTTGTTTCAGTGTTCATCGGTCGGAGCTCCAAACGAGCTCTTGGACCTCGTCGAAATTGCGGCCATGGACCTCGATGATGAGCTCTTCAGTCGCCAAAAGGCGCAGAAATTGGCTCAGAAGGAGCACTGCACTGCAACAACCACTAGGGGCCACGGGGGAACCGAGGGGAACCTGGATCAACAACGGGATCATTTGGAGAGTGGTTGGACTGGGACTTCTGACTGAGATGGAGATAAGAAGGTTGATGAAAGATTGATGAAGGGAGCCGAAATTCTAAACCTCTTAGGCCTCTTGGGAAGATGATGAAGGAATCTAAAGGACATAATTCATGAGTATTCATGATGTTTATATGATATGTTTGCTATTGGTTAACTTGAGCCCCTAGGAGATGATTGAGGCGGTCAGCGGGTGTGTTGATCAGATGAAGGCGCGGTCAGGTGAAACAAGATCAAGATCCGAACACTGGAATGGACTTGGCAACTGCGACGGTGACAGCCATGGACAACTGAGACTTGCAGCTTAGTCCTTGGTGCCAAGGCGGAACTTTTGCAGAAGCTTCAAGCTCAGTGAAAACTGCATCAGATTGAAACAGATGGAAAAAGCTGGAAGAGGATGGAAGAAGAAGAAGAAATCCCCAGGACCTCAAAGATTGCTCAGCCATGCTCAGCCATGCTCAGCCATGCTCAGCCATGCTCAGCCTTAGTTTCATTTTCATTTTGGTTCATTTTGGCTGTGTGATGCTGTGGGGGCCGTTCACAGGTTGCAGCGCATCATGGATCCAGCACGGGCCCGTGGGCAACGCACTTCCTTTCGGCGCGGATCGAAACAGACGGCTCCGACGGGGCCGACGGGCAGTCCTGGCCTAGAGATGCTCCAAGTGTCGACAGGCACCGCGCCCGGCATATGGCGAGCCAACATGGCTATACCATGGTTAGTTATACATAAGTTATACCATATATTTTACAATATAATGCGGATTAAACATTACTATAAATGATTATGTATGACATATGAATACGTACATATTATAGTATAATATTGATATGATATATAATAACAATAATAACGATCGTAATAACAATACTAGTACTAATAATAGTAACAATAATAGGGGTAATAAGTATGGCTAAATGTCTCAACATCGGAATCCTGCGTCGCCTGAATTTCTGTGGCCTGGAGGTGGAGACATTCCTGCAGAGCCTTCGATGCAAGGCGGGACAGCAAAAACTGTCGTCATATGGACAGTTGACATATGGATAGATTGGATAGTGATAGTCAGATACTCGACTCAAAAAACAAGCTGTAGAGACATTTTACAGACTTATAGGATCTTATAGGATTTTATCGATCTTAGAAATGTGTACTGATACGCAAGGATCCACGGACAAAGCAGATATAGAGTTGTTGACTTTCAGCTGAAGGATTCCGAGCGAGATATATTGAGATATATTGAGATATATTGAGATTAATTATATCCACATATTTTCACAGTTTTTCTGAAGTTGTTGCAGGTCCAACTTTGGGGACCTCCGTGAAAGTGGGACTCAGTGGGCCTCGTACATCTCCAGCCTTGACGGGACCACAGGCCAGGCTCAGTTTACGCTGTGGCAGGATTTTTTCGGATATTGTGACAGAATGTCGCAGATATTTTCAGGGTTTGTACCCTCTGGTAAACTAACATAGCTATTGAACATGACCATTTATAGTGGATTTTCCCATTGAAAATGGTGATTTTCCATAGTTATGTTAAATAACCAGAGGGTAGCGTTCAGCGTTTCACGATCGATTCCATCATTTTTTTGTGCGTTTGAGTGGCTTGAATCTAGAAAAACCACAGATCGATGAGTGGGATGAAACCAGGGGGTCTTTTGTTTCGTCCAACGCGGATTTCTTCTCTGCAGGTAACCGATAGCGAGGAAATGCTGGAAGGAGGGGAAGCCGCTCCATCTCCAAGACACAAAGCTCGTTGTAATTCGTTGCAACTTGTCAGTTCAACTTGATTCGACTTCCCAATTTGTGCAGGAGAGGGAGGTGGAGATGAAATGACAGGAATTGAGTCCATCACAATGGACAAGGCAGTGCTGCGCTTCAGCTCTGTGCAGCTGTGCTTCGCAGTGCTTCGCAGTGCTTCGCAGTGCTTCAGTGAATTGTCAAATCTTCAGTGAATTGTCGTGAACATTCGTGAACTGTCAGAAGCTTGGACAATTTTACGCTGTTTTGGAGGTACTATCACCTGCCCAGATCGATAATGTGCAGGTGGAGTAGTGAAAGCTACCAGAAAGACAAGCGATCTGATGCCATTTGTTTTGTTGTTTACAGAATTTGGAACGCCTCTTCGCACAAAGTTTGAAAGCGAAATCTGTCCTTTGTGCCTTTGCACTAAAAAGCTGCGTGCAGGATGCTATTTTGACCAACCGCAACGGGAACCGCAACGGGAATGAATCACAGAAGCTGCGTTTACACAAGGCCGAGAGATTTGGTGAGCTATGTGGAGCCATTTGAGTTGTGACCAGGGGTGAACATGGTCCACACGCAAGACACGCGAGGCATGGAAGTTGGACGATGAGCCGAAGCTGAGAAGCTCAGCGAGTCACAGCACTAGCAACAGCTTTCTGAAGATGGGATCGAGTCAGTTTTCCAATGGAGCTTCTTGGCGACAGATCTTGGCGACATTCTGCGATTTGCTGTGGACATGTGTGGACATGTGTCGACATGTGTGGACATGTGTGGACATGTGTCGACATGACAGCAGAACATCTTTTTGATGCTTTTTGATGCTTTTTGGCTTTGCACTCTGCTTTGCTGATCAAATCTCGCCTTTTCCCTTGTTGCAATGAACTGAGGATGGAGGAACCATGAGGAAGTCTGGATCAAACAGAACCAAGGAGGAAACTTTTCATTGGTATGATCGTCCTTCGGATGAAAGCTGGGTGACGACGGTTGATCCCTCATTGAAAAAGTGGGGTATTTGAGACCAAAAAAGAGACATATAGAGACGTGTTCCTCATGCTGCATATGCTTGAATTTCAAGGGAGAGAAGTCGAACGTGTTCAGTCCTGCCTTGAGCATAGGGTGTCATTGGAGGCCACTATGGGCCACTGGATTTCACTTCCCATGGTGACTAACATGGGCCTTGCATCAGGCCTTACCGTGTCTCACCGCTCTCCAATTTGTATGATTTGGGACATTTGGACCTCCATCGCCATTGCCTATGACATGGCCAGGGCCTCATTGAAAGAGCCGAACCGGCAGACGTTTTGTTTACGTCTCAAAAACGACAGGTGATGACGCCCATGGATGCCTTCAACATTCAGATCACTCCTGTGGCGTGGAGAAACACTGGGGAAAAGGTGTTTCGGAGTCCGGCTTTTGGGAGATATTGCACAACATTCGATGGATTTCGATGGATTTCGTAGATGAATTGTCTGAATTGTATCGTGTATTACCAAGTCTTCAAAAGAGATCTCCGCCATGCCACGGTCATATCTTTGAGGTGTTGAGAGCTCTGGAACGAACTTCCTCAATCACTTGGCTGGTGGACATGCTGTTGCTGCTTGTCGTTGCCAGCTCTTTTGCATCCTTGATCATCCTTGATCATCCTTGATCATCCTTGATCATCCTTGATCATCCTCGATCATCCTTAATCATCCTCATACCCTGTTCTTACAAAGCTGACATAAGCTAAGTCTCTCTGAGAAAATTCTCATGATCAATGCGTCAGGGATGGTGTCGTCAGGCTTTGATGCTTTCCAATCACTCCTGCAGCATGCATGTTTGAGGTCTTTTGTACGGAGCTATGGCAAGTTGAACGGCACAGAGGATTCGATGTCGCTTCAGAGAATGGACAAACAAATCAAGAAACTGATTACCCTTGTTTGGTCAAACAATGCTCTAGATCTGATGATTTTTCTAGATTCTATATACAATGCCGACAATATCATTTATACCACACTTTAGCACAATGATTTGCATAGAGTACACTACGAGACTACTTTCATGAACTTGGCAAGGAGAGACATTTGAAAGCCACCGCGTCATACTACTTGAGAACGTGGCAGCTTGGTTGAAGGAACAGCTCCGCCAGCTTTTCTCAATATTGAAATCATTGAAATCTGGTTGAAATCCGCCTTTTTGCGAAAGAAACGTGCACGAAACGTGCACGAAACGTGGTGAAGAAACGACGAGGTTTGCGTTTGACTTCACCCTAGTCTGTTTGGCCATGGCCTCGGCTCTGACAGGGTGAAACCAGGGTGAAACGTGCTATGGATGTGAGTTTCCCAAAGTTTCCCAACAAAGCCTGGCAAAATGCGCAAAATGTGCAAAATGATGCATGTCTTGAATGTCTTGCGGGTAGAACTTTGGAAGAAACTTGATGCGATGCGGCACCCAATCCAAGCTGGATCCTTATCCGTTGTTTTTCCATGTTTTTCCCAAATGCTCAGGACATGTTCATCTTTATTTTGGAAGATACCTCCTGGACTGTCGCTGCGATGAGCTTTGAGATGTTTGTACTCTTGGTGGTCCGTGGATGTTGTCCCCATGTGTCTCCATGTCCACGGTGTCCACGGTGTCCACGGTGTTCACGGTGTCCACGGTGTCCACGGCGCAGGATGCGCTACATGAGCTTCCTGAGAGCCATCCGACTCTTCCGACTTCTCCGGGTGCTGCGGGTGGCGAAAGTCAAGGCGCCGCTGGTGAAGGTGGTGATGTTTCCCACAATGCTTCCTCGCACCTCGGCGCGGCACACTGGGCACACTTTGTGGTGGATCTTGTGAGGCACGGATTGCGGTGTTAGCGCAGCTGTCGCTTATCCTGCAGACCCAGCCAGCACCTCAAATCGTTGGAAGATGTTGGAACATGTTGGAACCCTTGGAATCGGGCACGAGTTTATAACCGTTAAGCTTGAGCCATGAGGCGCATCACGGATCGTGGTTTTCTCATGCTCAACATCGCCAAGAGTCTGTTGATCGTCACCGTGCTCAATCACTTCACAGCAACTCGTCAACCACAACTCGTTGGCAGCTCATTGTCAACTTTCGGTTTAGTTTCGCTTTTCTTAAAGCTATTTATAAAACTGAAACTTTGATTGAATGCTTGACGAAGATCCTCTGGCGCCTGGAAAACACAAGTAGATCGGCATAGGTCCACCACGTGTTTTTTGATCATGTTTCTTGCAGGGTTTTCAGAAAGATCAGCGAGTGCTGCCCACTGAGCCCACTGAGCCCACTGTCAGTGCTACCGGACCAAGACACTTTTTAAACAACAAAGCAAAATTTGCAAACACAGATCGGCCATGTCTACCACAAGTTGCAAGTTGTGCTTTGGAAATTCCAGCTTTGTTTGAGAACCTAGCAATCTTGCCAATCTTTGCGCCCGAAGTGCTGTTGAGGCTTGTATTTGGTATTCCGTCGCAACAATTCTTGAGGACCGATGCTGCGACTCATGCAAGACCATTGCTGGTAGTTGAAGCAGCAGAGTCGTCTTTATGATATCATCCAACCTTTTCTAGTTACATCTAGTATCATCTAGTTACAAAATCTCACAAGGCCGGTGTACACTGAGTTACAACTGGTCATCACTGTAGCTGTGAAGCGCTGAATTTGAATCGAGAGGCCGATCAGAACAACTGGGTCTACATGCACTTTTCTGATCCAAATCGTCCTGATTCCCTGCTCTACCTCTACACCACGGTCACCTTGGAGATCTCTGTTGTGTGTAGCGAGGGAATGATCTGGTACCACATGGTATGCCACTTTTTGTTTCCATTTGGATGGCATTTGCATCAAAACTTTGGTGGAGGATGCTCTAGTCGTTGTCTCAGGCTTACCATTGGTCCATCACGCAATTGACTCCTGCGTCCTGTGAGATTTATCCCAGCAGCGCCCGAGAGCGCATCTTCAACATTGCTGTGATCCTCTTTGGGTCCTTGGAAGTTCAAAGTTCAATGGGTCGGATGGTGTGGGTCCTGACAGATGCGAGAAGACATCGAGCTTCTACGGTCTCCACACGACATTTGCGACTGTGAAATTGCGAAATAGAGACCCAGGCCCCAGGTCAGATTGAAAATGCAGAGGCAGAAAAATCGAAGGAAGTCTTGCTAACATGGTCATCAACCATTGTATGAGAAGTGCACGAGTTTGCTGTTCTTGAGAAGCATCTTAAATATTCTCAACCAAGGCTATGTGTTTTCTCCTCCTTCATTAGCTCCATGGCACAGCAGTTGCATGCGCTTGGACAACTCAATCGTGCGGACCGCCGCTAAGCTGAACACGAAAAAACGAAACGGAGTTCAAACACCATTTACATTCATTATCATTCATTTACAGTGATAAGCGCTTGGAAACCCCAACAACTAACAGTGCTAACAGTGCGAACAGTGCGAAGAGTCATCACGCTAAATCTCCAAGTTTTCATCAGGTCATCGCATGGAGGTTCTTCGGCGATTTATTTCGGAGCACCACATGTCAGTTGCCTTGGCGACCAACATTGTGGACTTTGTGAGGCTCGTGGCGTGTTTGATTTTCTCCAGCGATTTTCCAGGCTTCACATAGGAACTTTCGAGCGCGGCCAAACGTTGCTTTTCATAGGCAGAAACGTGGACCACAGATGCAACGGCCTCTGAAGGCGCCGGGAACACATGGCTAGGATCGACAAGAACTCCGGAAGCATCAAGATAACGCAAGATATATGTTGCACATGGCAGGTATATATGTCTAAAACATGAATACATTTACAAGTTTTATATGTTATATAAGCTATATAAGTTATATAAGTTATATAATATATACACAATTATAGATATTGTGGATGGATAGAAGGCATCATCCCGGAAGCGCCATGTTTCTGCCACGCTCCGCAGATCAGCGACATTGAGACCTTCAACAACTTCCCAACGGTGCACTGCATGGTGTGAGACAGAAAGAATCTGACCATTGGAAAGGGCATCAAATATACACAATATCTTTTTGGATATATTTGGATTCATATGAAATATATGTATATAATATATTATATACACATATACAGAAAATGATCATTCATTCATATATATATATGGTGGTCGATCTAAAGGTCCTTGTAAGGAGTTTTAATTGAGAAAGCCGTCCATGTTATGTTGGAAACCCTCGCGAAAGTTTTTTTCGAGTTCGCAAAAGTAACATTTTTTTTCGCCAAAGTTTCGCGAAAGTTGGATATCATGATTGCCTAACATAGGTTCCGCGAAAGATAAACATGGAGTTCGCGAAAGTTTCGCGAAAGTAACATTTTTATTCGCGAAGAATGGCCGTTCCCGATAAAGGCATTTTGATCAAAAACCATATATATATATATATCTATTTATGTACACAAAAACGTGTCTCATTTTTTCGTTGTTTCTGTGGCGACCTTGGTGCACCCTGGCCATCAGCTCAGCCACGGAGGCGCTCCTGCAGAAGATCCGATCTGAGGCCTACATCTTTGCGCTCCAGATGCAGAGAGATTGAAGAGATCGGAGGTTTCGGATATTGATAGCATATTATTAACATATTACATCAACATATTATATCAACATATGATTAACATATTATTACAATTCATTAATATATAAATAAATCGAATCTTTAGGACCTTGGCACCATAATGCACCATATATTTGCAATAGAATGGATATATGTAAGTTTGCACAATTGTATCCATACATGATTTCCTATGATTTCGTGAATCAACATGAATCACACAGAATGTCCAAAACGTAGAAACTCTTGGGATCGAACTTTGTTTATGTGAATTTATATGTATGTAGGATGTTATTTGGAAATTATTTTGTAAACGACATAATTTGACTAAGATCTTGAGCAAACACATTTTCTACAAGACGATCTATGAAGCCGATCGCGAGTGCTTCAACAAGCTCTGCAGCAATGCCATCTTCGAAGAGACCGTGGACAAAGGTCACGAAGTTTTCGCAACTGGAGAGGAAGGCGCGATGTCATGCGATGTCCGTGACACACGTGTGACACACGTGTGACACACGTGTGACACACGTGTGACACTTGTTGATTGTTGCGATGTTTGTTACATCTTGTTAACAGTCAGAATCAGTCAGAATCAGTCGGAGTTGAAGTGAGGATTTTGCTTTGCACAGATCCACGGGCTTATGGTTTCACATGGCACGTGCATAATAGAACTAGTACATGGTACTTGAAACAGCTTCTTGTGACCCGAATCATCATGAACAGTAAGACTCCTTTTCAATATCTTTTGATATCCATGTTTAAGCTTTGGGCATCTTTGGGCTGTGTCTCGTCAGGCAAAGGTATGTATTTCCTTTACCATGGCAAATTGGCCTACGCCTATCTCTTGGACGACGTGAGTTTTGATGCCGCCGAAGAGGACTGGATGAATTCCCCTGAGACCAGTTGCTTCATCGCCAACGGCTTCATCTCTGAGGCGGGCTAAGCTCGGGAAGCTGCAAATTGAGAGGGGTTTCATAGACCCACTGAAATACGGAAATTGCATGAATAGATTATGAATAGATTATGAATAGATTATGAATAGATTATGAATAGGATATGAATAGGATATGAATAGGATATGAATAGGATATTCAAGGTATGCCTCAATTTGAAAGGCTTTCCGTGATTTCTATGGCTTTTTAGACAGTTGAACTCCATTTTCACATGGTTTTCAGGTTTCGATGTGGCTGAATTGGTTCCACCGTGGACGTCTCGCTGGTGAAGCCATCGTCACGGATATGCTGTTTGTCTCGGGGGATCGATTTCGAGAGGTGCAACTGGCAGCAGAATTGATACCCTCTGGTAATTTAACATAGCTATTGAACATGACCCATAGAAATAGTTGTTTTACCCATTAATCATGGTGATTTTAACCATAGCTATGTTAAATTACCAGAGGGTACAAACTATCTGGACACTGCTTGTGAAACTTCGTGATGTGTGATGTCGCGTCGATGTCAGGTGATCCGGCAAAGCCACTTGTTGAAAGAGGTGCGTCTCTATGCCAGGCTTTATGCGTTGCGTGCCTTGCGGGCAGGACTGCAATGGACCGTGAGCGTTGATGAAATGTGCAGAGTCGAACCCTGACTGTCAGCTGAACAGCACTGTATGAAGCTTGTGACGATTTTTTCCTGAGGAGACTGCCGGCTACAGAAAACACATCCAAACACACGCATCCCGACAGTCCCGACATGCACATTTTCTTTCTGTGCAAGCATCGAAGACTGGCTGTGGCAGGAAAAGAGGGAACTGAACTAGATGATCTCTGGCACGAGGCACCTCGCAATGAACTTTTTTCCGTTTTCTGCTTTTGCTCGTTTTTCCGGTCTTGCGAGTGTCGCTCTTGTCGCTTTCGCCATTTCACCATCGGTCAGTGGTCAGGATGAGATCATTGAAGAGATCAGTAAACTTGCCCTCCAGGGAGGCCTAGAACAGGCAGTGAATATCTTGGCAGCTGGTCGAAGCTCAGCTGCATGTGCTGTGCATCCGCTGTTCTGCACAGCAGCACCATGTAGGTAGCACTGTGGAGAGGAGGGATGAAACAGACTGTCATCAAAATTGCCAAAGAATGCAGTGCATGTGCAGGCGTCCTTACCAATCCTTACAATATGTCACGATTGTAAGTTACAATGATTTACAATGTGATGCTTGCAGGGTTTTGGCAGTTGATGGCAGTTGTCTCAGAGTTTGCCATGACACTGAGTCAGTCACTGAGGAATCACGCCCCAGAAGATTCTTAGGGCCTGGCGACAGCATGCTCAAGCAAGTCTGCCACTGAGTCTGTCGAGTCTGTCGTTTCCAACTGCGCCGTGCTAGACTTGAGCGGATGAAATTATGAAATCTTACAAAATCTTACAGATCTCAAAAAAGCTTTCAGACAGCACCTAAGTCATCCAAAGCCAATCACTTGGGGTTCCAACTGCACAACTCTCATGCGCACTGCCGGGCACTGCCGCTTTGCAGGTCGCTTTACTCGCAGATTCAAGAAACCTATAACTCAGTGGAGGCGCACCAAAGATGATCAGATGTTTCAACCTGTATACAATATATTACAATATATGATATCTATATCACACCAGGAAACATCACGGTAAAATCCATCCATCAAAAATCACCAAACCATTTATCCAAAACATCCATCAAAAACATCCATCAAAAGATCCATAAACATATGACATCCGCCAATGGCAGGCGCTTCACGGCCTGGGTGCGATGCTGCTTCAGTGCCCCGCAAGAGCGCGAGGACTTAACATGAGAGGCACGGTGGGACGAATAGATCGATACATATCGAACATCACATGGATCATGGAACATCATGACATGTGACATACTGCTTGGTGGTTTGGAACCATGGAATTTTAATGAATTGTATGACTTTCCCATCATATTGGGATATATTGGGAATGTCATCATCCCAACTGTCGAACTCGGTCATTTTTCAGTTTTGGGGTAGGTTGAAACCACCAACTTTTCGCGCTTTGCCAGGTCCCATGGGTCCCTTGTCCAAAGGCCTGATCGCTCTGCTCCAGAGGCAAAGTCCTTGCAGAGATCAGAGAAATCGGCCGGCACTGCGTTCACCTTCAGCAAGAACTCGTTGAAAAAACAGCAGCAGTTCCGGGTGGCATTGATCCGATATACGATATAATGTAATATAATTTGATATATTTCAATATCATATCAAATCGTATCATGTCACAAATACACATATATATATATATAAGTATATATACATGTAAATAACATACAATTTACGACATTCTACTGCAATATCTTGGTGATGCTGCCGTTGCCCTTTGTTTATGTTTATTTCGTAGCTGCTGCAGCTGCTGCGGTGCCTGAGCTGGAATTGAGCTCAACGGTTCAACGGTTCAATGCTGGCAGGTTGGGTTGACTGATTCACATCCTGTGGGTCTGCTGTTCAGCTCAGATGCACCGTCCTTGATTTTGCGTGGCCAAAGGTCACTCGGCGAATTACGACACGACACCAGGGCGCTGGATTGTGTGGGCAACGAGTTGCAGACCAAAGTCGTTTTTCGACCTAAATTTTTGCTTTTCATATTTTTCATCACTCATATCACTCATGGAATTAAACCAATTATTCGTAATTGGACCGTTGGACCAACAATATCTTGGACCTAGACCTAAAGGCTAAAACGGTTGGCACATTCGCTGCGAGACTGGTCTGCAATGGTGCCTAGTTTTTTGTACAGCACTCTGGTCGCCACTCAGCTGGTCGCCTCAGCTGGTCGCCTCAGCTGGTCGCCACTCAGCTGGTCGCCATGCGCCCACAGTGGCTGGCCATGTTGTACAACTACATACAACTATGTATCCATGACTTAGCTACGTACAACTCATTTTGCTGAACATTGCCATTCATTTAAATTCATTTCCTGTGGCCATTGCTGTGAACTGGCGTGAACTGCTGAATGGAGCTTTTCTCTGAAAGCGTTCGGCATGCGTTACCGGCGGTATTCCAAAAAGCTGGAGTCAGATTTTCACCTTCAGCTTTGGCTTGGCACAGTGCTTAGTGTTCCGCAATCTGAAGGGCGTTATGGCTCGAAAGCTGAACACGCTGACCGTGGATTAAACGAGATGAAAAGAGATGATGAGTTGTTAATAGTTGTTATGTCAACCTGCCCTTTGACGCTGCAAGCTTCTGCAAATTTGGCTTTATCCCTCTCATGAACCCCTTGGCATCTTTGATACGTGAGTAGGATGTGCGGAGTCACAATGGCAAATCTGGAACTTCGGAATAGATCCATGGAATGAACAGAAGCTCTTGCAAGGGACAACGACCTTTGGATGCCACATCAGAATGCTCACATACAGTAATTCGGTATTGACGCGCAGACGCACACAGATCCTTCTGACTCATCAAGAAAAAAGGCAGACAAAACAACGACCTCTCTGTCCAAATGGGCTGAGCAATTTGCAATGCGGCTGCTTTGGGCATGGATTCTGCGCGTGAGCATTGCGCAGGAGCTGGGAATGATTTTTTTTGAGCAAGACTCAGGACAAAATAAAGAAAGCTTTCCAGGAAACGCAATGGCAATAACTAATAACTTCTGTCAATCCATTTTCTTCACATCATACTCTCTGAAGATTGTGAAAATTGTGATTATGCAGGACAGTGTCTGGATCTTCCGCTACTTCGTGGAGAGGCCGGGCCGGTGCCGCCGCCGAATTCTCCGAATGCTCGAGCCGAGCTCGAGCCGCTCGACCTGCAGGATGGACTGCGCAGTGGGCACCGGCGAGGTGCCGCGGTGCCGTGGCTATGGTACGGTATGGGTATGGCTATGTGTCATGGATAGCATATTATAAAAACTATATAATATGTATATAACAAGAAATAATATAACAAGACATAATATGATATGAATATAATATATTATAATATGATATAACATAATATAGTATCATACAACATGATTTGATATAATATTAATGTATTATACTATATTATATTTTATTATATTATATTATATTATATTATAGTAGTTTTTCTACAGTTTCATATAAACATGCCAAATTGTTTGCGTCCATCAGTAGCCCATTTTTGACCCATTTTTGACCCATGTGGAGACAATGCAGCGGCGACATCGTTGCAGGACAATCTGTGGAACGACCTGGCTGCATATTTGCAACCGCAGGCCTTGCCAATATTTGAACAGTGGCCAGCTGACACCTTTCACTGAAAAATGTTCGACCAGCAGACTAGCTACTGATCAGTCAGAGATTGTGCTGAAAAAATGAGAAGTAATGACTGTAATGCCAATTGACTAGCCTCTGACTACTGACAACATTTTTGATGCAATTCTGTACAACTTATATCTCGAAGTAACTTTAAGTAACACTAATTGTTGTAAATGATTAACAAATCACAGAACCTATCGACCTATCCGAAAGCTATCCCCGGAAATGTTCAAACCTGGTATGCCCAGGAAGCCTCCGCAGAACGGCTCAGCATTCTCAGCAGCACCTTGGAGGATGGTGTTTCTGGATGTTTCTGGTTCTGTTTCCCACACGGCAAACGTGGGGACGTGGGGACGTGTGTCGGATCAGGACATTTTGATGCCCTTTGGAGTGGCAAGGGGCCCCAGGGGCCCCAGGGGCCCCAATGCACCAGCGTTCTGTCTACGAATCCGATGTCATGGACCCATGGACTCCATGGACCACGTCATACCACGGAGGTGGACCCCACTGTCGCCTTGGGTTGTCCACTGGGCACCAGCGCGGCCCTGCAGGAGTCTGCAGCAATTTCCTTGTGAAATCTGGTCGTTTCCTCGTCTGATCTGCACTTTCGTTAAAACATTTTAAACAAATGTGTTTTTTTCTATCTTTATTTCTTTTACAAGCTGTATTTTCTTTTGAATGTCGCCTGGTTTCAGGGTTTTGATAGGTTTTGATCTCCCCCACCATGATCGAGTGACCAAAAAGTGGTGGGCCAGGAGCTTGCATCGGTTTGCGTCGGAAAGCCTAGGGGGTGCCAACACAGCGACAGGAAGCAATAAGACAAGTGGACACGAGAGTGGTTTGACTTGGACATAATTGGACCATTTTCAAAAATTGCCAATTGAGTTATTTGAGTTCTGAATTTTTCAATTGTTCCAATTGTTCCTTTCCGACTTCAGCGAAACGTTCGCGGACGTTGAAGGTTGGGCTCCTGGGTGAGGGTTGTCTACAACGTGGTCTCAGGCACAAAATGGGGAAGTAGATGGTAGATACTGATAGATACTGGTATCGGACTGCCTGCAGAGCAGTTTCGGTCGCAAATTCACAGCCATACTTGTGAAAGCTGTGAGATGCTAGATGATGCTAGGATTTCTATGGATTTCTTGTCCAGGAATGTTTGAAAAAAGTCCAATGTGCATCCTTGTTCACTACTTTACACACCTTTTTAAACCCAGAAAAATCATCCAATGTTGACAGCGTCGTGCGCAGTGGTTTTGCAGAGGCTTCTTCATCTCTCCAAGCTGTTTATGTTGTTCCAATTCAACGACTTTGGCGCCTGGTTCAGCTTCTCCCGATGGTGGGGAATCCGGCTGGGGACAGGTCAACAGCACAATCTGCAGTTTCTTCCCGGAGAAACTGTGCAAGATTCTTTGACAATGTTGATATTGGTTGCACTGCAATCATTGCATGTCGGGTCGTTTTCTTGACGGATTTCTTGAAAAAACATCTGTAAATTGGAGGCGCACAGATATGCAGCGCATCGCCAGTTCGTCACAGGCACTCACCGTACACAACGATCCAAAGGGATACAGTGAACAAAGGATAACAAAGGTATGCAGCGTTTGGATCAACGAGGTATCAATATGTATCAATGGTGTTTTGTCTCGTACTTCCAGTGACTTGGCATTCGAAATCTGCCAGATTTTTTTGGAGGCTCTTCACTCAGCTGCCAAGAGCCAAACCGCTGGCGCTGTGGGCGCTGTGGATGTGGCCAGAGACTCATCTGGTGACCTGAAAAAATCTGGAGCATCCCACAATCCCCGCCCCAAAAACCCCAACGGCACCAACGCTTTGAGGTGGATCCCAGCTTCAAAGAGCCAGGTGCAACGAAAAATATCGAAAACATCTTTAGATATCTTTAGATGAAATATATATCTAATATATATATATATCTAATATATATATATATCTAATATATTTCTAATATATTTCTAATATATTAGAAATATCCTGAAATATCATGAAATATCGATGCTGCTGACACAGCTCGGATGGGACATGGAGAATCATGGAGACGGGGCTCGAAAGCTGGCGACATTCCCTAGGCTGGCGAATAGGTTTAGTCACCTACTGCAATTACAACAATAGCCTTCGCCTCAGTATTCGAGTGAAACGTGAAATACGTGAAATACGTGAAATCTAGCTGATACCAATGGTAACAAGCTACCACTCCTGCTTGTGTGACATGGCTACCGTTAGTGCGCGCAGCTTTCCCAGCATTCCACATGCGGAGAGCAGCGAAGTGGTGAACTCCATAGGATGAACTCGACACCGTGTGTCAAATTTGTCAATGCAAATCATCTTGACATATCTTGACGACACACCCAGCCCCACTTCTCTAGTGATGCGCAAAACATGCTTTGGAAACTTTGGAAATGGGATCCATCCCAATGGTGAAGATAGTCAGATGTCACGAGTTCGTCGAGAGTCAGAACATGTCAGAACAGTCTCCAGCTTGGCTTTTTGATGCACCGTAGGGATCAGGGCATCCATGTGGCGACTTCTACTGGTCGTTGCGTCCGCAGAGATCCAGTTGCCTGTGGTGGACCTGGTGCCTTGGTCCAGAAATGGGAATCCTTCAAGTGCTTTTTGAGAAAACCAATGACCAATGTGTTCGCCACAAATTTTTGGATTTGGTCCTTTTTAAATTCTAGGCGACTTGCATATCTTGCATTCTGCACAGCACCGGCAGTGAGGAAAAGAGTAATTGGAAAGAACGCGCCGTGGAAGTCTTGCAGACCAATGCATCGTTTCTGCTGGTGAACCATGGCGTCTTGGTCTCGAATGGTCTGACAAAAATGTGCCGTCGAGGCTTTTTTATCTCAGCGCTTCTGATAACCAATCATTGTACATCTAATCTACTGTACATATCTGTACATATTATTCATTCTGATTCTACTCATCATACTCATCAGAATTCAACGAATAGCCAGGTTTTTCCAGGATCACCTTGCTTGAAAACCATGGGTTTTCAATGAACAGATCGTGTTGTGGCTGTTTTCGGTATGATTATTATGATTTATTCATGTTTACCACTTTGTTTACCACTGATTACCACTTTGATTTGATTACCATTTTGTTTACCAAACACACAGTGTTTCCAGGTCTGGGCAACAGCTCCAGTGGTCTCTGGAGCAAGGCCCTGAGTGCCTCGCGGCAGCTCTTCGCCTTGCCGGAGGAATCCAAAGCGGAGGTGGCCGCAGGCTCTGGGCTCACCCGAAACAGGGGGATTTGTCAAATTTCTGATCCTTTAACATCGTCTAACATATGTTATAGTTAGTATTGTGCTCCCCCGTCTTTTTCCCTGACCCGCCCAGATTAATATAACATAAATTCCACCAGCCTACACCCTCAAAGAAACATAACAGCCAAACAAATTTCATCTTATAAATATTTTTCATAAGATAAAATCTAACTTTCCTTCTTCTTCAAATTCTCCTGATGTTTCATTGTTGTTGTATGCCTTTTGTAATTCTTAAGTTGAATATCATAATCATCACATACAGGGCACTTCATCCATTTTATCTTTTCAAATTCCTCTTTGTCATCTTTACCAATATTTGAAAGGTGTTCCCTTGAACGAATATGCTTTGACCAACTGCCTTTTTGAATTTCAACTTTACAGTCATCACAATATACTTTTACCTGTTTATCCTCTTTTGTTTTTTCAGCATTTTCTTTTGCCCATTCTCTTCTTTTTTCAGGATTATTTTTTGAATAGAACCTGCAATACTCTAAACAAGTCTGACACTGTTTATATTCTCCAAAGGGCTTTACCTTTCTACATTTGGAACATTTTTTTGTATCCTCCATAATTCACCTAATATATATAGATACTTTCCCTTTAAATCCTTTTTCCCTATATTATTATAAAACAATAATATAAACCATAACAAACAAATAAAACAAATAAAAACAAAACAACCTAAACAATACAATAGACTATAAAACAAACCTTACCATAAATCATAACAACCTCACCTTACCCATCTTTCCTACCACGCCACTGCCATACTTTCTACAACAACAACCACATACTCATCAACATCCACCACCTCCTCTACTTCAAGAACAATAAGGTGCGCTCTGGAATGGGCGTTGGTGATTTCCATTATGCGTGGGCACATTTCCATTATGTGTGGGCACATTTCCGTTATGTGGTGGCACATTTCCATTATGTATTGGCACATTTCCATTATGTGTGGGCACATTTCCATTATGCGGTGGCAGGATTTGCTGTGCTCCTCATCTTTTAGGATGTGCGGAGAACCAGCGTGGGAGATTTGGGGGGAACTGGAAAAAGGCGGTTTTGAGCGAAGTTTTGATTTTTGTTTGTCCCAGCATCCTTCAAGCATTGGTTGTATCCACAGCGCCATTTTCAAGTTTTGTCTCATCCTCCTTCCTATGGCAGGTTGGTGTCCGGCGCTACATAGTTGTGGAAACCCAGAATTCAACCAGAAACTGGAAGGAAAACATTGCCAAGCAGTCTTCAAATTTTGACATTTGAAAAGAGTTTCAACCAAAGAATGGAACAAGCGACCCTGTCAAACAGTCTTCAAATTTGACATTCGGCATTCAGTTATTCAGTTCAACCTTAGGGGTCTCTTTGGGATATATATATAGCATACCCTTACATACCCCCATACATATTATAAGTGTCCCTACACATTAACCCCCTGTCTCAGGATTTCAGGTTCAGTGGTTCGGCAGTCCGGCACTGGGGTTCTGGGTTGAATAGGTAAATAAATAAATAGAACTATATGATATATGTATCATTTATATTTATCTATTTATCTTTGACGAAGGCAACGCCACAACTGCTGACCCCTATAGTGGCAGGGCGCAGTAATGTGGCAAGGCACAGCAACTACCTAAAGCATACAACATTTACTGCTGTCATAATTTCTTCAACCAATGCTTGAGGTATTCTATACAAATCCATCTGTTTAAACAAGGTGTAGCCTTCTTTCCAATTCTCCTTTTTCCCACTGGGTGCCCTCTGTGCTGTTTCCTTGTGCCTATTTCCATCCATACTCTCACAATCCTTTTTACAAAGAGGTCTGGGTGTCCAAGTATCCAGATTAGTCCATAACCTCGTTCTTTTTCTGTATGGCATACCGTATTTACAGTAGTCAATATCAAAGTATGGCAAACCCTCCATAAATGATTGCTTCTTCAATAACCCCGTTTGGGGATTTTCCACAAACCAAACCCTAGGCTTGAAGTATTTGATTATCTCAAGAGTTTTCATTACTATTTCATTTGCTTCCTCAATTTTCCTCACCCCAGTTTGTTTAGCAATGCTATACTCAATACAAGGGGGAGAAGCCCAAATCATATCCCAGTATTTCACTGGATATTTTTTGTATTTCCATTGTAGTATGTCACGGCAAAGCCTTGAGGATGACTGTAAGTCATCGTCACAGTTTATATCAGCCCCTTTCAAATCTAATGACACAACAGTCCAACCCATATCTTTTGCGACAGTTCCCACACTTCCTGTCCCTGAAAACAACTCAAGTAATTTCATATAATCTATATATGAAATTATTTGTTGAAACTCACGCAATTTTTATCAATCCATCAGTTTATACACTTCACCATCCCTTTCAATCTTGTAAAACTCAAGTGTCTGAGACTTTGGCATTTTTATCTTGCCTTCGTTCAGCATTTTCAGATACTGCTGTTGCTTGGTTTCAAAAGTTCCTGCCGGTCTGCCGATTTTTTTAGCCTCAAAGATTTTATCCATCCTTTCTTTCTCAGCATCAGCATCATTATCATCGCTTGATTTATTTTTCACTAATATATCAAGTTTTTCTAATGCCTTGTTCATTAAGTCCATCAGTGCTTTGACATTCTTGTTATACCTAGTCATCTTGTTCAGCATCTCTGCCATTTCAGGCTGTTTATCATCTAAATCAGACATTTCTATATATATAATTATTTAGATATTTATTTATTTATCAGTTCAAAGTGTGTTAAAACTACTCTTTAGATAGGTTTAATCCATATCATTTATTGCCATTTGTTTTTTACTTCTGGGCGTTCCCATTACATCACTTATCATCTTGTTAGTGCTTTCCTTATGTTTGTCCTCTGGTGTAATCTGGCGGTTAAAACTGAAACTGATGCTATGGTCTTCACTTTCTAAAACAATTTCACCATCATCATCTTTTTTGACATTCATTGTTTTATCATTCTTGCTGATTTTGAAACTACAGGGGGAACATTTACATTTGATGCCCTTGGGGTTGATTTCAATTTCATTTCTCATCTGTAGTTTGCCATTACACAAGGGACATTCAAATACAATGTTTTTAGATGTCAGTTTTTGTTCCTCATTAAGATTGACAACAGCGGGTTCTTCATCTGATAGTTCAAAATCTTCGGGGATTGGCTTTTTTGGTATTTTACTACTCATCTTTGGTTTTGCTTTTTTGGGAGGCATCTATATAATATTTAAGATAATTTATAATTATCTTCAGAAACTCTAATACCATCCTACATATCTGCTTTATTTTATTATCTCTTACAATTGGAAATTTACTATTATCATCAATACTATCTTCAATCACATCTATTGTATTAATATAACTATCATAATTACTCATCCTATATAATTAGATGTTAAAATTATTACTATCTAATTATATATGGATTTTTAGGCGCAAACAAAAATCCATAAGGGGCGGTAGGTAAATGTCAAAGAAAATGAACTGTGCTGATTGAAACATAGCATCAAACAAATTCTCAAGCAAAAAGGCTTCAACATCTTCTACTGCTTGTTGTCATAGCAAAAAGAGACCGTGTCGGGAGTGAAAAAGAAGCAAGAGCCCAAGGGGTGGATTTTTTATTTCTAATTAACTTCTTATGAGGGTAATAATGGCAGTCTGTCCCAAATTTCGCGACCCCATTTCAAGCAAAATAAGATATGCCATTTACAAGATAAAATATATTTTATTTTCTAAATAATTTATATTATGTCAAAACTTGCTGTTCCTAAAATAGAGCCTATCAATGTAAAACAGTATGAATTCAAACAATCACCCTACCCACAAGCAGACAAACTACCATTCAGAAGCATCATTGTATCGGCATCACAGGGCGGAAAGGGTATATTAATTCAAAACCTAATTCTAAAAATCTACAGGGGATGCTTTGAGAGAATATACATTGTATCACCGACAGCACACATAGATGAAGCATACAAAGAAGTAATCCGATACATAGAGAAAGAACTAAAAATAGACAACAAAAAAGAGCAATATTTGTTTGATGAGTATGACCCTGAAAGTCTGGCACACATCATAGACACACAACACAAAGTGATAGAATACCAGAAGAAAAACAAGATGAACAAGTTATATAGTTGCCTTCTTATAATTGACGACTGGGCAGAAGATAGAGTTTTTATGAGATATAGTAAGATATTACACGGACTATATACAAAATCAAGACATTTTGGTTTATCAGTCATCACTTCTTCACAGAAGCTGAACGCACTTGCTCCTATAGTAAGATTGAATACAAGTAGTTTATATATTTTCAAGTTGAAAAACCAAGCAGAACTGGACACATTTATTCAAGAACAGTCAGCGCTGATAGACAAAAAGACAATGCTGGAAATTTACAGAACAGCAGTTGATGCTCAACCCTACTCATTCTTATTTGTAAAGTTAAGGGAAAGTGATATTAATAAAATGTTTATGGTGCGTCTTGAAGCAGAAATTCATATAAATTAATAATATTATTTCAATATAATATTTTTAATTTAAAATAATGACATATTACACAAATCCACCTTCGGCATAGCATATATCATTTTTGTTTGCTTTTCCTTGTTCAGTTTTTCAATTTTGCTATTGATTTCTTTTAAGGCTTTTATTTGTAATTTATCTATTCTTGAGATGTCTAACTCTTCTTCATTAATTTTGCTCAATTCTTGAATACAACTGTTCTCTACTGTAGATTGTTTATTTCCCATATTTATAGGTTTATATTTTAATTATCTTTAGGTTTTGATTTAGCTTTTGCTTTCGCTTTACCTTTAACTTTCAACTCTTTTATCTCCTCCATCATCTCAAACATACAAGCCTCTAAATGTTCTATCTTTGTTTGTTGCTCTCTACATACTCCCCATAATATGCCTGACAATTTGATATAACTTAACTTCTTAATACCTTCATTATCAGTCATAACAATA